TAACGAAAAGAAAGCTCATTTAGCCTGTTTTTTCAAGTTCATGGGCATTAGCAAGCAAATGATTGCTAAAACATGCCCATTTGCCGTATTTGTTCTGAACAGTCAGAGGCCTTAACACGTGGGTTTCTTGTCGCATCGCTTTCATTCACACGCCTCCTCAGTTTATAATACAAGCAGAAGCAGTCACACATGTTTTCGGTCAAAGCTTTCAGTTAGTCGTTTTTCATTCATTAGCGTTGCAAACTGCTACATATTGCTAAAAAGCGCTGAAGAGACCACTGACCACTAAAGATGAAGGTGAAAGACCTTTCCGAAACCTAAAGTGCTTTACCGCCAACATAAGAGATAAAATTAGGCTTCATGAATTTTGTGCCTTCTTTATTCAGTAATTTAAGGGGAAAGGATCACTTCAGGGTTTGTGGTTAATGCGATTCAATAAGAATTTGCTAAATGATTCGAAATCAGAATTTATGTGGCTGTGTATCCTCCATAGTCTGTTCATAGTCTATACTTTGATGTGTTTTCGATGCAGCTAGTTGACTGGAATTAAACTTGGAGCAAACTTTACAGCTAAGATTTCCTTGGTCTGCGCATACGGCCGAAGTCAATCATCGGGTTCCCCAAAGAAGTATGTTTTTCTTGTATTGAGTTTTTCACCTGAATGTTTCAGATACTGACATGTCTACTGACGCTACATCATCCACAAAAGATTTCCAAAGCTCTGATGTTATATGGCCTTCGGAAACCTCAGCGACATCTACTGAAGGATCGACTGTACAAACATGCTATACCTTTCTCTTAAACCTCATTCATTGTTTTACCGCTCTCGCTAATTTCGAATTTAGGAAAAATACGTCACCATAACGACACCATCACATGAAACGCAGCAACAGTTGCTCGAACAGCTTCAAAAAATCATGAAAGATCATCCCGGCATACTGAACTACACCAATTCTTCTGGCGACCAGATTCTTCACAGAATCGCCAATTTGCCGGTAACAAAACATTTGCAAGCACTTTTCCTGTGAATTCAACAGGTCTTTGATTTCAGCTCAGCAACCTTTCAGTTGTCGCAAAAGCTCTGCTTGGTGGACAAGGAGAGGTGAGACTGACATTTCACTTATACTGATGTCTCCATATTGAGCCATGTTTCGAATTTAGTCGTGGCGACCAATTTTTAAATTTGGCCTTGAGATTCGATTTAATTCAGTTGCTGAATGGCTCATGACAATCTTTTTTCTAACATCTTTCTTGTTCTAGCAGTGTTTTCATCTTTCTCTGGACAAGGCAATCCAACCAATCAAGCCAGTAGCTCATCCGCAGTTATGGAAAGTTGTGTTGTCTATGCGAGATTCAATAAGGCTGTCTATGAGCCATGCAGCACCTTCACACAATCTATAATATTTTTCGCTTCTCTTAATATTCGTTATGTTTGCCAATGTCGTAATCAAGGTTGCTACAGCAATCTTCTATGAATATTCCAGGTTACGTCAGGCATGTCGCCTTCGCAGATAATCAAGATACTCAAAAAGCACATGAACGTCACTAATGGTCCTCTTGCGAAGGTATTCCTTCTATTGGGCACCACTCAGTCAGTGCTCAAGCGAGCAATCGTTACAGAAGTTACACGAGCTGTTAAACATGTCTTCACAAACCGAAATCACGGGTCCTCCTGCATCACCATCAGCGGCAACATTATCTCCAGAGGAGGAACAGCAATTGCTTAAGCAGCTCGAAAAATCATGAAAGATCATCCCGGCATACTGAACTACACCAATTCTTCTGGCAACCAGATTCTTCACAGACTCGCCAATTTGCCGGTAACAAAACATTTGCAAGCACTTTTCCTGTGAATTCAACAGGTCTTTGATTTCAGCTCAGCAACCTTTCAGTTGTCGCAAAAGCTCTGCTTGGTGGACAAGGAGAGGTAGGACAATAACGTTCCTTCTTATAAATACATATATACACTGCGTTTCATAAATATAGGTCCACCCTAAATTTTTGCTATTCCAAAGTTGCTGTGCATTTTTGGAAAATGCCGCTATTACCAATAGTTTCCCCATAACGAAAAACCTTGATACTTGATTTCTGGAGAAATCTCGATTCAGAATTATTAAAATATCTTCCTTAGAACGTATTTTCACCGTTTCGCAAATATGACTACACATCACTTGTCGAGAGATTTTACTATAACGAAAAAACG